TAAATATAACAAAAGTGGGAACAAAGTCAACTTTTCATATTTGTTTCTCAATTTTTGACGTAAATGGAAAGAATTGTAGAACTATTTCTACTTTCCATCAAATGCCGTATATGCAATCTGAAACACATTGCCGAATAGACAAAGTATTTAAAATCTTATATGCGATCTTGCAGAACGGAACTGATATATTATTGTGCACAATTTATTATCTCTTCACGGATGCTTTTTGTTTTTATGACATGTTTTCATTGCGTTCAATACTAAATAGTAGATTAACCACAGTTATAGGTTTGTTGGCAGAAACGAGGAACGACTGTTTCCATCGTCCAATGTTTTAATATGCGTTAGATAAAATTGATACTGTCAGTGAAGTGGGCTCTCTTCCTTTGGTTTGTTTAAAAGTTGAAATGCTTCATTTAATCGTCATGTTTTTGAAGCTGATGATGACGATTTTACAATTAGCAAATTTGTTAACGTTTTTCTGGACTTATTATTTCAATTCACATATGTTCGAGATTGCTGGATTGAATCGGCATCAAATAATCAATAATTATCTAATTAATTAGTAATAATCAAAACGTACACACGAGGGCGCTTTAACAGAACAACTGAGCTGTTATATATATTAAAAGTAGCCAAAAGAACTTACTACTTTATATACACAGAACCGGCAAATTAGTGTCCCTACTCTTTGTAATATTTTCCTAAACTAAATTCTTTCTGTGACAATTATAATTACAATTATGACTATGGAAAAATTATATAGTAGGTCAGTCAATCAAGGAATAACGGAGCAGAAATATAATACAATCGGGTGAACGCGGTGCTTTTCAGCGCTCCCCGATTTTCTGCCTGTTTTGCGTTTTTTGTTCGTTGTGCGCCCGTGTTTCTACACAGTTGTATATATAGTGTGTCTACATTTTACGTGAGTAATTTATAGTTGTTGTTTTTGTTATTATTGTGGTTTTTGGAGTGTTTTTGCCTTTGCCTTGGCAAGGTGGTCGGCAACCAAGATGGCTGCCGCTCACACAAGGCCACCATCAACACCAACAGGTCACCTTACTAGAAACCATGCGGTACGATGTGAAAACATTGATGGCATTCCTGTTGAAACTTATGTGGAGTCGGTTGCAGATTTAGTCGGGCCAGTAATATTGTGGCTGCATCCCGTATGAACCGATCAGTTATTGTATTTTTAAATAAGGTTACATGGGTCAACATGGTTTCTGCCGCTGGCCCTGACATTGGAGACCTCCATGTTTCTGTTGAACATCTTGTCCGCCCCTCAAAAAAAATTGTTCTATCAAATGTTCCCCCTTTTTTACCTGACAATTTTATTACAGATGCCTTAGGTAAATACAGGCGTGTAATGAGCGCGGTGCGAGCGATCCCACTCAGGTGCAAAAGACCTGCACTGAAACACGTAAAGTCTTTTCGCCGCCAAGTTTATGTATATTTAAAGAATCTCAATATCAACGGTTTATTACCTATTACTTTTCAAGGTCAGATATATAATATTTACGTTTCGTCTGACGAATGAACTTGCTTTTCATGTAACATGAAGGGACATACACGTAAAACTTGTCCAAACTCTCAAACAATGAATATGCAAATGATGAATGATGAAAACAATAGTGCTCAAAATAGCTCTCCAACAGACTCTCAACAGGTGAATGTAGTTACTAATTTAAATTCTCATGACACATTGCACGACAAAGACGATGACATAACTGATATAATACACCAGATACTGAGATAAACAATCTCAAGACAGATGGTGCAACAGAAAACATTGAACTTGAAACTGAAATGGATACAGATTCATCCAAAAATATGAGCAAAAAGCGCACGCGCTCTAAATCACAAGTTAATAGAGAAGAACAAATCAATGACCAGTTGAATGACAAAAATAAATGTGAACCAAGTTCTAAAAAGCGTAATGATGAAAATGTAATCGAAATTGTTGAACAAAATTGTCCGATTGATGAAGAGAGGGTACGAAACCCTCCTTCCATTTCTATTGCATCACCACCGCCTCCCCCTTCACCCCACAACCCCCCACGTCTATGCCAATGTAACAGTGTGTAATCCAAAACCACAGCCCGAGCTTACAGAGTCAACCCCATTTCCATCATCTCCCTCACTTGAGTTCACAGTTGAATCCCCGTGCTACTCGCCACTATCCGAAATCCCCATTGATTTAAGTGGTTTAACTGATCAATCACAAGACCTTTCCAGCACACCTATGTCACAAAATAAAATCGCTGATGACATGGAGGAAACTGCTAGTGAATGTAGTAAGAATGAGGGGTCTATCATTTCAGATGTTTCAACACGTACTGATAGCAGCGAATCAACAATATCAAACGCTAATATCAAAACCTTGTTGGTGTC